GAACTAGAACAGAACTAGAACAGAACTAGAACAGAACTAGAACAGAACTAGAACAGAACTAGAACAGAACTAGAACGAACTAGAACAGAACTAGAACAGAACTAGAACAAACTAGAACAGACAGAACTAGAACAGAACTAGAACAGAACTAGAACAGAACTAGAACAGAACTAGAACAGAACTAGAACAGAACTAGAGCATACAGAACAAAACTAGAACAAAACTAGAACAAACTAGAACAGAACTAGAACAACTACAGAACTAGAACAGAACTAGACAGAACTAGAACAGAACTAGAACAGAACTAGAACAGAACTAGAACAGAACTAGAACAGAACTAGAACAGAACTAGAACAAAACTAGAACAGAACTAGAACAGAACTAGAAAGAACTAGAACAGAACTAGAACAGAACTAGAACAGAACTAGAACAGAACTAGAACAGAACTAGAACAGAACTAGAACAGAACTAGAACAGAACTAGAACAGAACTAAACAGAACTAGAACAGAACTAGAACAGAACTAGAACAGAACTAGAACAGAACTAGAACAGAACTAGAACAGAACTAGAACAGAACTAGAACAGAACTAGAACAGAACTAGAACAGAACTAGAACAGAACTAGAACAGAACTAGAACAGAACTAGAACAGAACTAGAACAGAACTAGAACAGAACTAGAACAGAACTAGAACAGAACTAGAACAGAACTAGAACAGAACTAGAACAGAACTAACAGAACTAGAACTAGAACAGAACTAGAACAGAACTAGAACAGAACTAGAACAGAACAAGAACAGAACTAGAATAGAATTAGAATGGAAATACATATATCCGAACTATCATGAACTATTACATGCATACAATATACAATCTAGTAAATAATATATTGTTTGCAATTGTTGCCTTAAGTATTTAAGTTTCGAAAACCCTTTAAATGAAAATGTTAAAAAGTTGTTCTAAACATCAACTTGTTGGTTAGACATGAAAAACAGAAAATGAAAAAAATTACTAGTATTACAGGCCATATAGCCCGGAACAAACATGATTTGTCGACACTTAAATTAAGACAACAGCACTGAAGTTTTACGACAAAAAGGGAAAAATTAAAATTTGTTTGAAAAAATGAAATAACAAAAAGGACTTGAAAAAAACATTTAAATGACCAAAAGCAGTTGAAATTTCACCAACAAGCTGCTTAAAAGATAGAAAAAAATATAACAGACAGGAAATGCTAATGAATAAAGGAAATGAGGAAGAGTAAGAGAAAAATTAAAAAATGTTTGGGAACTGGAGGAAGCAAAAGCAAAGGTTTAATTTAAAAGTGGAGTGACAGACTAGATTAAAAAAATTAAAACAATTTTTTTGTACATAAAAGCTGTGCTGGGTTTGAGAGAAGAAATTTTTTTCCAAATATATATTAATTTGGAGACTTAAGATATATTTTTATAGATTCTATTAAATAAAACCAATGACTCATTTTAATTTCAAAGGCCAACAGTACTTGAACTGAGAATTTTTATAGCTTGACAACAATTTTATAGAAAAAAAATTACTATTAAATTTCAAAGAAATCAAAATGCATCAATTTTTATTTGACGCCAGCTAGACTAGCGAGACATGTAGCAAAATCTTAACTACTTCAGCAGACAATGACAAACCGTGATAATGCTGTGCTGCTGTCGTCATAATAATCACCAACATTTTACTTATAACAACTTAGTATTGTTGCAACAGCCACTGATTGTGTATGTTTGACACTTTACAGCAATTGTTTTGTTAAGTGTCAGTTGCTGGTATCATGGCAGTAGCAGTAGCTTAGCATTGGCAAACTGAAGATTTTTTTTTAAAACATTAAAAAACACTTGCAATGACATACACTCCCCCACACTTTAATGCATTTATTTTTTAATATTTAGTTTGTGATATTTTCATAAATGTTTGTGAGTCACTATAAAGGGGGAATTTCGTTAAGTATTTTCAGTCTCAAGAATACAAATTTATAAAATCTATCCTGTCCCACATTTACTCATCTCTATATGCAACACCCCCAACCCTTTAACCTCACACACTGTCTGCCATAATGGTGTCATAAAAACCGAAACAACAACCATATTTAAAAGTGCTGCTGTATATGTTTGTTATTTTTATATCTTTATTTTTTAATGCTCAAATCTAGTATATTTCTATTTTATTTCATCAATCAGTTGTGTTTTTCTTATATCAAAAGATTTGCTTATTCTAAGTAGCCACTGTTGGCGCACAAATTTTTCCCTCCCAAAAAAAAAATCTAAAAATATCTCTCTATAAAATGCGTTTTGGCGCCATAAGCATTACAACTAAGGCGTTTAATAGTTTTTCATTTCCTTTTAAATTAGACAACTGCAAATCAGAAGTGCAATGACAGTTTTTATCTCACAAAGAAAAAACCATAGATTTTAATATTTTTTTAAAGATTTTTTTTACTAATCAAAAATTGTAGCATAGTTTAATGGTTTTTCAAGTGCTAAAGTAAAGGATTTTTTATTAAAGCAAAAACTATAAATTTTCATTTATCTTTGAGAGCAGCAGACAGACAGTAAAAAAAAATGGTTTTATATTTGAGGAGTATAATAAGACTTGAAGGCGCGTAGGAGATAAAATAGAAGATTAAAGCTAATTGCTTTGAAATACTAAAGTTGGAAAAAGGGATTTAAATCTTTTTACATTAAATTTTGATATTAAGTTTTAAATAGAATTTTTGCACGTCTAAAAATTTATTTACATAAAAAACGTATAGTAGAGCAGAACTAGAATAGAACTAGAATAGAACTAGAACAGAACTAGAACTACAACAAGAACAGAACTAGAACAACTAGACAACTAAACAGAACTAGAACAGAACTAGAACGAACTAAACAGAACTAAAACAACTAGAACGAACTAGAACAGAACTAGAACAGAACTAGAACAGAACTGAACAGAACTAGAACAGAACTAGAACAGAACTAGAACAGAACTAGAACAGAACTAGAACAGAACTAGAACAGAACTAGAACAGAACTAGAACAGAACTAGAACAGAACTAGAACAGTAACGAACTAGAACAGAACTAGAACAGAACTAGAACAGAACTAGAACTAGAACAAACTAGAACAGAACTAGAACAGAACTAGAACAGAACTAGAACAGACTAGAACAGAACTAGAACTAGAACAGAACTAAACAGAACTAGAACAGAACTAGAACTAGAACAGAACTAGAACAGAACTAGACAGAACTAAGAACTAGAACAGAACTAGAACAACTAGAACAGAACTAGAACAGAACTAGAACAGAACTAGAACAGAACTAGAACAGAACTAGAACAGAACAACATAACTAGAACAGAACTAGAAAGAACTAGAACAGAACAGAACAGAACTAGAACAGAACTAGAACAGAACTAGAACAGAACTAGAACAGAACTAGAACAGAACTAGAACAGAACTAGAACAGAACTAGAACAAACTAGAACAGAACTAGAACAGAACTAGAACAGAACTAGAACAGAACTAGAACAGAACTAGAACAGAACTAAAGAACTAGAACAGAACTAGAACAGAACTAGAACAGAACTAGAACAGAACTAGAACAGAACTGAACAAACTAGAACAGAACTAGAACAGAACTAGAACAGAACTAAACAGAACTAGAACAGAACTAGAACAGAACTAGAACAGAACTAGAACAAACTAGAACAGAACTAGAACAGAACTAGAACAGAACTAGAACAGAACTAGAACAGATAGAACAGAACTAGAACACTAGAACAGAACTAGACAGAACTAGAACAGAACTAGAACAAACTAGAACAGAACTAGAACAGACTAGAACAGAACTAGAACAGAACTAGAACAACTAGAACAGAACTAGAACAGAACTAGAACAGAACTAGAACAGAACTAGAACAGAACTAGAACAGAACTAGAACAGAACTAGAACAGAACTAGAACAGAACTAGAACAGAACTAGAACAGACTAGAACAAACTAGAGAACTAGAACAGAACTAGAACAGAACTAGAACAGAACTAGAACAGAACTAGAACAGAACTAGAACAAACTAGAACAGAACTAGAACAGACTAGAACAGAACTAGAACAGAACTAGAACAGAACTAGAACAGAACTAGAACAGACTAGAACAGAACTAGAACAGAACTAGAACAGAACTAGAACAGAACTAGAACAGAACTAGAACAGAACTAGAACAAACTAGAACAGAACATAGAACAGAACAGAACAGGACAGAACAGAACTAGAACAGATATTTATGTAAATCATGAAATTTTTATAATGAATTTCCTTTACGAATCACAGGGCTTAAAAATGAGTCTAAAAATTTGTTACTACCTACTTCTAGGCAAAAATTTTTAATTTATTACTATTACCCCTCCTGACTCGCTAACGATCATAAATTATAAGCAACGATGAAGAAGAGAAATTAATGTATTTAATATCTTTTTGTCTAAATTTATTGTAGCAGTTATTTCTTGTTTTTTCCAGTCGTGTATTTTCTTTTTATATTTTCTAGAATTATTTGTTTTTTTTTTTTTTGTACTTACCCACTGCTAAAACATTTGTATATCCTTGTAAGCTATAAATTAACAATGTAAATCCGATTAGTATTGCACGTTGATATCGTAGCAACATGTTGCTGCTGTTATTCTGTTAATGTTATAGAAACAACACGAGCGCTAAAATGTTGAAAAGCCTAAAAATTCTTTAAGGCAAACGGTGTTAAATGATTTGGCTGGCGTCTGTTGCAATACTAAATGCTCCTACTGGTGCTGCTGATACTTGATGTTTGTTGTCGTTGTTATTGTTGTTTGTGTAAAATATTCCAATGTGCTGCAGTGTTTTCAAAACAGTTAAGTTTTACAGTTTTATAGACATGTGTGTTTGCAAGTGAGTGTGTATATGTAAAAAAGGATGTCGTTGTGTAAAAATGTATTCGTTTAAGTGTTTGTATGTTTCTGTGTGTTACAATGTCATCAAGTTTTTCCTTGTTTTTATCCTTAAAGACGGCTTATCTTAATGTTTGTAAATGTATTGTAATGATTGCAGTTGTTGTTCTCTCGTTATTCCTTTTGCCTTTTAATGTTTTCATCGAGCTGCTGCTCCTTCTGCAGTTTACTGGCACTTCTTCTCGACTTAATTTCTTATACTGTTCCACATATGCATGTGGCTGTGACTGCTAATGTAGGTTTGAGTAGTTGTTGATGGAAATTATCATAGAAATTTTCTTTTGTAAGAATTTGCAATTTCTTTTTATGTAATTTCTCCTTCTACTGTGTGTTGCAAAAGTTTCTCTTGTTTTTTCTAATAATGTTGTTAATGTTTGCCAATTTTATTTGCATTTATTTTATTTTATAGCTATTTTCTTTACTTATTTCTTAATTTTGTTTTAAATTTAACGTCGTTACTTATTTAATTTGTGTATGTGTTATTTTTTAATTTAAAAAATTGTAGATGTTTTTGGCTTTAACTTAACTTATTAATCTTTGGTAGTATAGATTTATTTGAATAATAAATAATAACAAAATCCTGCAAGGAAAGAAAGAAGAAAAGATTAATTAGTTAAAATGTAAATTTATAACAATTTTGTTAATTAATAATTAGCAAGAGTTATAGAAGATTTAATCTTGTTCCTTTTCAATTAGGCTTATTTAAAAGTACTTTTTTAAAAAACTAAGCACTAGTTCTGTTCTAGTTCTGTTCTAGTTCTGTTCTAGTTCTGTTCTAGTTCTGTTCTAGTTCTGTTCTAGTTCTGTTCTAGTTTGTTCTGTTCTAGTCTTCTAGTTCTGTTCTAGTTCTGTTCTAGTTCTGTTCTAGTTCTGTTCTAGTTCTGTTCTAGTTCTTGTTCTAGTTCTGTTCTAGTTCTGTTCTAGTTCTGTTCTAGTTCTGTTCTAGTTCTGTTCTAGTTCTGTTCTAGTTCTGTTCTAGTTCTGTTCTAGTTCTGTTCTAGTTCTGTTCTAGTTCTGTTCTAGTTCTGTTCTAGTTCTGTTCTAGTTCTGTTCTAGTTCTGTTCTAGTTCTGTTCTAGTTCTGTTCTAGTTCTGTTCTAGTTCTGTTCTAGTTCTGTTCTAGTTCTGTTCTAGTTCTGTTCTAGTTCTGTTCTAGTTCTGTTCTAGTTCTGTTCTAGTTCTGTTCTAGTTCTGTTGTAGTTCTGTTCTAGTTCTGTTCTAGTTCTGTTCTAGTTCTGTTCTAGTTCTGTTCTAGTTCTGTTCTAGTTCTGTTCTAGTCTTTCTGTGTTCTAGTTCTGTTCTAGTTCTGTTCTAGTTCTGTTCTAGTTCTGTTCTAGTTCTGTTCTAGTTCTGTTCTAGTTCTGTTCTAGTTCTGTTCTAGTTCTGTTCTAGTTCTGTTCTAGTTCTGTTCTAGTTCTGTTCTAGTTCTGTTCTAGTTCTGTTCTAGTTCTGTTCTAGTTCTGTTCTAGTTCTGTTCTAGTTCTGTTCTAGTTCTGTTCTAGTTCTGTTCTAGTTCTGTTCTAGTTCTAGTTCTGTTCTAGTTCTGTTCTAGTTCTGTTCTAGTTCTGTTCTAGTTCTGTTCTAGTTCTGTTCTAGTTCTGTTCTAGTTCTGTTCTAGTTCTGTTCTAGTTCTGTTCTAGTTCTGTTCTAGTTCTGTTCTAGTTCTGTTCTAGTTCTGTTCTAGTTCTGTTCTAGTTCTGTTCTAGTTCTGTTCTAGTTCTGTTCTAGTTCTGTTCTAGTTCTGTTCTAGTTCTGTTCTAGTTCTGTTCTAGTTCTGTTCTAGTTCTGTTCTAGTTCTGTTCTAGTTCTGTTCTAGTTCTGTTCTAGTTCTGTTCTAGTTCTGTTCTAGTTCTGTTCTAGTTCTGTTCTAGTTCTGTTCTAGTTCTGTTCTAGTTCTGTTCTAGTTCTGTTCTAGTTCTGTTCTAGTTCTGTTCTAGTTCTGTTCTAGTTCTGTTCTAGTTCTGTTCTAGTTCTGTTCTAGTTCTGTTCTAGTTCTGTTCTAGTTCTGTTCTAGTTCTGTTCTAGTTCTGTTCTAGTTCTGTTCTAGTTCTGTTCTAGTTCTGTTCTAGTTCTGTTCTAGTTCTGTTCTAGTTCTGTTCTAGTTCTGTTCTAGTTCTGTTCTAGTTCTGTTCTAGTTCTGTTCTAGTTCTGTTCTAGTTCTGTTCTAGTTCTGTTCTAGTTCTGTTCTAGTTCTGTTCTAGTTCTGTTCTAGTTCTGTTCTAGTTCTGTTCTAGTTCTGTTCTGTTCTAGTTCTGTTCTAGTACTGTTCTAGTTCTGTTCTAGTTCTGTTCTGTTCTAGTTCTGTTCTACTTCTGTTCTAGTTCTGTTCTAGTTCTGTTCTAGTTCTGTTCTAGTTCTGTTCTAGTTCTGTTCTAGTTCTGTTCTAGTTCTGTTCTAGTTCTGTTCTAGTTCTGTTCTAGTTCTGTTCTAGTTCTGTTCTAGTTCTGTTCTAGTTCTGTTCTAGTTCTGTTCTAGTTCTGTTCTAGTTCTGTTCTAGTTCTGTTCTAGTTCTGTTCTAGTTCTGTTCTAGTTCTGTTCTAGTTCTGTTCTAGTTCTGTTCTAGTTCTGTTCTAGTTCTGTTCTAGTTCTGTTCTAGTTCTGTTCTAGTTCTGTTCTAGTTCTGTTCTAGTTCTGTTATAATTCTATTCTAGTTCTGTTCTAGTTCTGTTCTAGTTCTGTTCTAGTTCTGTTTCTAGTTCTGTTCTAGTTCTGTTCTAGTTCTGTTCTAGTTCTGTTCTAGTTCTGTTCTAGTTCTGTTCTAGTTCTGTTCTAGTTCTGTTCTAGTTCTAGTTCTGTTCTAGTTCTGTTCTAGTTCTGTTCTAGTTCTGTTCTAGTTCTGTTCTAGTTCTGTTCTAGTTCTGTTCTAGTTCTGTTCTAGTTCTGTTCTAGTTCTGTTCTAGTTCTGTTCTAGTTCTGTTCTAGTTCTGTTCTACTTCTGTTCTAGTTCTGTTCTAGTTATGTTCTAGTTCTGTTCTAGTTCTGTTCTAGTTCTGTTCTAGTTCTGTTCTAGTTCTGTTCTAGTTCTGTTCTAGTTCTGTTCTAGTTCTGTTCTAGTTCTAGTTCTGTTCTAGTTCTGTTCTGGATCTTTTCTAGTTCTAGTTCTAGTTCTGTTCTAGTTCTGTTCTAGTTCTGTTCTAGTTCTGTTCTAGTTCTGTTCTAGTTCTGTTCTAGTTCTGTTCTAGTTCTAGTTCTAGTTCTAGTTCTAGTTCTGTTCTAGTTCTGTTCTAAGTCTGTTCTATTTCTGTTCTAGTTCTGTTCTAGTTCTGTTCTAGTTCTGTTCTAGTTCTGTTCTAGTTCTGTTCCAGTTCTGTTCTAGTTCTGTTCTAGTTCTGTTCTAGTTCTGTTCTAGTTCTGTTTTAGTTCTGTTCTAGTTCTTTCTAGTTCTGTTCTAGTTCTGTTCTAGTTCTGTTCTAGTTCTGTTCTAGTTGTATTTTACTTCTAGTTGGTACCAAACTACAATTTTGGTTATAAATATTAAACTGTAACCAAATTTTTCTTTAAGGTGGCAGTAGTAGTTGAAAATATAATTCAAATATCAAGTTAGTTTTCAAAATTTATATAAAAAAATTTTTTAAAAAATATTTTGTAAACAAATAAAATTTTTAGTGAAATTTCAATATAAATCAACAAAAAAATTAAAATATATATTTAAAAAACTAAATTCTTAGTATTCTTAATAATGGTTTTAACACAATTTCTCAAAATGCCCCTTCTCTTGGGGCGTTGGGTAAATCGGGCTTTCAGTTCAGCAGTCACCTTAACCCCCGTTAATAACCTACAACAACAGCAGCTACGTTCTAAAGCTACAAAAATGGATTGCAAACATCTGGAGCCCAAGTGTGGGGATCGTTTTAAGCAAGAACCCTGTAATCCCCGACAAGTGGATATTATATTAAAACAACCTGCTCCAGAACCTTTACCCATACAAAAACGTGCCATTAAATTAAAACATCCTATGGAATGCTGCGGCAATCCTTGTAAAGATGCCTATCCACGTTTTGATTTATTGTACTATAAACGTAGTGATAAACTAAATCGTGAGTATCAACAAACCTGGGCGGAATGTCCAGAATTGATAAGAAAACCTAAGGTTATTTGCTGTTATGATAAAATCAAACAACCCAAATGGCCAAAAAGACCACGTAAACATAGGCCACAAACGGCTTGTGAGCAAACCTGTTCTAGTGCTCATTATAAATGTCCTCGCATGACTATGGAGGGTTGTCGTTCGGCCCACATACCACCCAAATGTAGACCCACCAAAACTAAATCCAACTGTAAGAAACGTAAAGCTCCCTTTCCCGCTTATTCAGAATGTTCACGTAAATTACCTAGACCCAGACATCCCATAGAATGTCGCTGCCTGCTTACACCCTCTATGTGTGAGGTATGGGTACATCATTTTAAAATGCAAAGAATAAAGAAAATAAATTTATGTTAAGTTTAAGTTTAAGATTTTAACGGAAGTCTTAGATTGAAATTTAATAGAAATTTTATTTCTTTAGTCAAATGTAATTTAAAAAGGATTTGGTTTAGGAATATTGAATATAAAATTTTTGTAACAAAATATTATTATTAATTTTGTCTTAAAATAATAATAAAATTATTCTAATTTTTAGCAAACAAAATCAAGCATAACAAAGTTTTTCCCTTACAATACACACATAAACAATTTATGCATTAATAATTGTAGCATATTTTTAGGCCTCATTGATTTTTGCATGAAATAAAAGGAAAAAAGAGATTTGTGTTTAAGAAAACAAGCTTGTTTTGAAAGGTGAAGAAACTTTTTCTTATTCTTATATAAAACTGTACAATTAGTAAGTAAAGGCATTTTTTATGCTTGAACAAATTTCTTTTCCCCTAAAAAAAAAAAGAAAAAAAAAAACTTTTTCATTCAAGCCTAAAAACTTATACTCGTTTACATATTTACAATATCTTTAAGTATTTGTTTGGCATTATGTGAAGGCGTTTGGTTGTAAAGAAAGAAAAAAGAAAATGTATTGAATAGTTTCTTTTGAGAAATTTAACTTTGAAATCGAAGATATAAAAGAGGATGTTGATTGTTTTGGTTTTATACAAAAGAAAGAAAAACTTAAAATGTTATTTGTATTGTGAGATTATTGTTATATCCTCAGATAAACATCCAGGGCTATGAGAAGATAAAATTTCTAAATATTTTTCTCTGAGATTTTCTTCATTTTTATAGCAAGGCTAGGTCGACCATGTAATACCGTACACCAGTTATAAAAATAAAATGTGATTTAGTGTTCATAAGGACATTTAAGTCAAATTTTGATGGGGGCCTTTGTATAGGAGCTAGGGTCAAATGAGGCCCCATAATTATAATGTTCATGAGGATCATCAAGGCTAGTATAGAACTTGGTTTTGTAGCTCTTTGTCGATATACGTGTATATTAAACATAACTATGAACTTAAAAGCCCTATTCGGGGGTTCAGTTGTATGGGGGCTAGGTGAAATAATGGACTTATGTTGACTATTTTCAATAGGCTTCGTCTCTAGTACTATAGAAGATCATGTGCAAAATTTCATTGAATTATCTTCAAAAGTGCGACCTATAGTTTTATAACTTGGTTTTGCAGCATTCAGTTGTATGGGGCTAGGTCAAATATTGGACCGATATTACCCATTTTCAATAGGATTCGCCTCTAATACAATAGAAGATCATGTGCAAAATTTCATTGAATTATCTTCAAAATTGCGACCAGCAGTTTGATTACAAGGTCTACATAGATGGATGGGCGGACGCACAGACAGACAGACGGACAGAAATATCTAAAGCTCAGAAAATGATTCTAAGCCGATTGGTGTACTTAAAGGTGGGTATAGGACAATATAATATATACACACAATATTATATACAAACTTCAGCACATGCCCAATATACCCTTCCCACTAAAGTAAATTTATAAGTAAATTTATACAGTTTGTCACTGTCTAAGTAATTATGGATTTAAAAATCCTCTAAATCGGTTGAGTAGAAAGCAAGTTATATAACAATTTATAAGACAAACTCCAAAAAAAAGACATAAAAATCAATTTAAAGCGCCTTTTAGGTAGGCTCTAGAAATTAGTGAATACTCTAACAGTAAATTCTAGAGTTATGAAAGTTTCAGGTGTTTCAAAAAGTGATAAAATCGGTTTGTAATATAAAGATTCTGAATTAAAGAGTTTTTGAGTTATAACATGTTAATGTCCCTTAAAGATATGCTCTAGAAATTTATCTACATTATACCACCTAGATTTATACCTAGTATCCTAGTTTCCCGTAACTTCTAACCATCTTTAAAGAGTGTTATGTTATATGTTTTTTTGTATATTTACAAAATTATGTTTATTTTTTTCATTTCAACCATAATACAACAAAATGACTCATCACTTACATACCTACATCTCTACAAACATCTACATACATACATATGTATATGATTAAGCTTATATAGAAACAAATTTTGTTAAAAAAAATTACAATGAATGCCAATGAATAGATTGATATTTCATTAAGATTGTTTGTTGTCTATTCTTTCTTTTATTTATTTGCAAAATTTTTGTCTTCTTTTTACAAAAAAGTCGGAAAATAGAATTGTTTACCAGTTTTTTATTTCACTTTATTTTTCAAATGTTTACAGGGTTTTCCAAAAGAAGAGATTGATTGAAGAGAAATTGATTACTCTAAAGCAGCGAAACACAGTGAGCTCTCAAATAAGCTCACTCTCAAATGAGCTCTGCCCTTCGCTGCTCTAAAGCAGCGATAGGCAGAGGGTAAAAAAATGCTCTCTAACTGGTTTAGTTTGCTGTTTACACATATATGTGAGCTTATCAGCCTTTGAAATCAAGAGTAGAAAAAAGTTCTCATGAGAGCTCCTTACATATCATTGCTTTAAAGTAAGATTCTCAGTCAGCATCAAGCCGCCGTAAAGAAAGTGGGCACTCTTGCTCTCTCTTTGCTACTAATGTTGGTTCAATTCTCCATTCTCTTGTGCAAACAAATTCGTGAGAGAGTTGAGTATATTAATGATCTATATTATATGCAATACGCGTGGATATTATTGTAATAGAGAATACCCAGGTGGTTGAAACTAAATCAGATCACATAGGATGGTGAGCAATTTGATTCAAAGAATTCGTAAGTTGTGAGTGATCTGAGTCAGTGTAATTGATCAGATCATTAGTGCCAAAAATTTCTTGAGAGAGTAAACAGAATTAATGATCATCAAATATTTACGATTCTTAACGATTTAGCTTTTACTTTTACTTGAGCAAATCGCGTTCAGAGAATGCAAAAACTTAGTAAGAGAGTTGATGATAGCAACGATCTCATTATAGATTTATGCCAATAATGCTGTGATCGGCAGTATGGGAATCATTTCCAAAACATCCAGCTAAAGTCATTATCTGACTTGTTTCTGAAATAAAATTAGATCAAATCGAGTAAAGTTTGTTTAAAAATTTCATGAGATAGTTGACAATTCTAATGATCTTGTTCAATGGCAAAACATGTTTCAGAAACTGTGCAAAAATTTCGTGAGATACGATCTCAGTTATCGTATGATGCCTTTTCAGAAACTGTGCAAAAATTTCGTGAGATACAATCTCAGTTATCGTATGATGCCTTTTGACGATCTTGCGACCCAGAGATTTGATTTTTTAAACTTGTTTATAGAATTCAATCAATCGTGTTGTTCTGCTTGTGTAAAGGTGCAAAGTTTTGTTATTTGACTTCCGTGATCATTTTTTAAGGATCAAAGATCAAAATATCAACTGCATTTTAACTGTTTGCTGTGTGTTGGAAGTCATTTTAAAGATCTACTATGTATAATAGTCTCATTATACAGTGCTTCTGTATGAAATGAAATCATATTAATAGAGTTTTTCGATTTCATTTCTTAAAATAACACTTTTAGTTAAACCACCTTTTAACTAAAAATATTGAGAGGAAATAGCAAGAATATGATACTTCCGTTCTAAATATGAAATCTACACATAATAAATAGTACAAATATATAAAAAAAGTTTTAAGAAAAATAAATGAAGCTTTATTAACACAATAGTTCTCCTTCCCATATATATTCCAAGTTATAGGTATTTGTGGTATATAACGAATTGTTGGGATGTTGGTAACCAAAAAAGGAAAATTAAACCACAATTAATTGAAATGTCTTTTAGTCATGAGATTTTTCCAAGTGATATACAAGATCGGATATGATGTACTAGTTCGTGCTGATCATGTGAAATCAATGCTAACAGATTCAAACTAGATGTGATATAGAGAGTTTACAGAGAGTTGCAGGAACAGCTGGATAGATTAGTAAATCAGCAAGATAGACTAGAGAAATTTGTGTCGCCTACCTTTACCTCCGATCTAAAGGATCGGATATGATGTATTAGTTCATACTGATCATGTCAGATCAATGATAACAGATTTAAACTAGATGTGATATAAAGAGTTGACAGAGAATTGCAGGAACTACTAGTGAATCAGTAAAATAGACTAGAGAAACTTTTGTCGAATACCTTTATTTTGAATCAAAACTGTTGGGTGAACTAGTTCCAAAAACTAATCCACAAGATCGAACATGATGAACTAGTTCCTTTTATTCCCTTGAGACAAGTGGATCTATATTCGAATTATGTGTTAAAAACTAGAATAGATCTAATATGATAAACTAGTTCCTTATATTCCTTTTTGAAAAACTTCAGAACTAGTTCTCATACTTGATTTCTAACTATCAGGCTTCTCTTGATTCGTTTAGGCCTAGCAAAAAAAACTATAAATTATTTTGCAACTTCTGTTTAGACTTTCTTAAACATAATAAATTGTCACATATATTTTATTCATATATATATGTATTTTTTATTTTCTTGTTTACCACTACTTTGTCCAACCAACTGGAGTCAACTAAATAGTTGAACAGTAAAAAAAGTATATAATATAATCCAACTCAACTAAACTCTAAACAAAAAACGTGACTTTTCGTAGTTATTCATCAGGCCAACAAAATACAATTTTGTCTAAATGATTTAGTCTGACTAGCTGCTGTCTGTCTGTCTATTTTGCTTTCAATTTGTGCAAAATTATTTATATACTATACAGACACAAACACACACACACACTAACATGTGTACATGACCAATATGTATTTTAACATAAAAACCCGCTAGTTTTCGATGGACTAGTTACTGGACTAATGAAAATGGGATCAATACTACAACTAGCCTATTGAAATTGCAGATATAGAAACACTATTTTTACCACAACTTGTTTGCACAAACAGAACTCGATTTGATCTAAGTTTTTAGAAACTTGTGGATCTCGCTCACATCATTTTCAGAGCGAATCATTAGTATCGTGAGTATTGTTAACTCTCAAACTGTTCACGATCTACGCAAGTTCAACGATACGATATCAAAACATCTTTCGCAAATGAGTTGCGAATCGTAGATAACTGTGATCGCTAATAACGAAATTTTTAAAGAAATTGTTCGCGATTTAATTTGACATGTCTCGAAAATGATTCGCATGATCATACTGT